TTGTGTATTGATGTCGTATGGAGATTTAAGTCGTAAGCCTTTTGGAATAATGTTATGGTTTTTACATTTATGTAAAAATGTTAAACTGTTTTCAGAGTGTAGAAGTTCAGAGTGTAAAAATTTTTGTCTTTAAAAAGACAGAATTTCCTCACGTCTTTTATTACAGATTGATAAATAGTGCTCCTATTTCGCAATTGGAACCAATTAATTATCAAAAAGTAATCAAGAACTGTCACCTAGAGGATATCCTGCGACACACTTAGGCTCAAGCTGTAAGAGAAAATTCCAATTAGCAAAGAAATTAATTTGAAAAATTACCTTGGTGTTTCAATAGCTATTTTCTGCTATCGTTATCGTTTTAACAATTATATTATTTCAATAATATCTTTGAAATTTTATAACAAACCCCTTTTAAATGAGACCGTTTTCTAAGGTTGGAGATGGCAGAATCCATTCTAAAACTACTTTTTGAGCTTGAAATGCTACAGTTTCGGCCGGAAGGAAGGAAGCAAATGTCCATATGAAAATAACGACTTGTTGCCCATACTTATAGCACGCGGGGAGATAAAATGAATTAAGTTTGGAAAAGCCCGCAAGTGCGACGGGCTAAATAAATACAATGACTTTCTGCCCTGTATGGGTGAGCGCCCTGTCATCTAGTAAAGCCCCGCAACAGTCGAACAAGCGGAGCCCATTTGACTTTTAGATGGACGCCTGCGGTGAGGGCAAAGCCTTTGGCCCTGCTATCGAGATGAAAACTTTTGCTGAATATCATGTTAAGATCCCTGTCTTCCAACAATAAACTTTCCCAGTTCGGCTTTAAACCTGAAAAAGTGGGAAGTTGCTGGGCTCCTTCGAAATACAGTTTGCTAATGGTGATGTTTCTTAGATCAGATCATCAAATTATGAAATATTGTTAAAGTTCTACGGGTTTTTGACGAAAAAGAGTTAAGCACAAAGAAGCTAATTCAAGTTGCAAGTTGTTAAAAGTCTCCGGATACTCCAAAACGTAATTAAAAGCTCGTTCTGACGGTGACATTAATGACGTGACATCTAATGTCGTCCACAACAGTGTCGCGTCATTAAATGTCACGACATTAACGTCACCGTGTGAACGAGCTTTAAGGGAAAGCGAACTGCTGAACTTTTCAAAAACTTCTGTTTTTGGAACCCAATTTCTACATCAAGTTGAAAAAACGTTAAATCACGATTTAAAAAAATCACCGACACTAAACTATCGCAAACATTTATTTAATCAACATTTGTTTAACTATATCGAATCAGTTTCTTTCTTTAGCTCTAAAGAACAGGAAAGTTTGAAAAATACAGCATTTTTTTGTTCAAACGCCCATGAATTCTGAAGCGAAATGATTAAAATGTTACTTAGGTGTAATTAAAAACATTTGAACAACTATTAAGTAAAAGTGCAGTTGTAAGAAAATTATTTCTATTTTAGTCCCTAATTTTTGCACAAAAAGCTTCTCGCGGAAAAAACCATGAAGTGTCACTTTGTGTAATTGGTCGGAAAGTACTTAACTATTCAGACGTTAAATCATACAATATTTCTCTTAAAACCCTTTAAAACTTTTTTTTAAATATTTGCATAAATACAGTTCAGTCCGGATATAACGAAGTTGAAAAATGAACTAAAACTGGTTCGTAATATCCGGAGTTCGCTATAAGCGAATAATAATACAAAAACCCGTGGTGTATTTTATTTCGTTATTTTTACATAGAGTAGTAGAAGTTAGTAGGTATGACTAAAAAGAACACAAAAAGATAAACAAAATTCAATTTGAAATCTACTTCATAGAGTCTGTAATTTTTGTTTGTACATTTCTGCTGCAAAAATAGATGTTATTTATGTAGTTTTCAAGATAACAAAAGGACTCCCAGATATGATTAGGAACTTGGCGTGATTGTAAAAAATTTCGAGTTTCTGGCACTTTTTTTGTCATTTCAGAAATGATTGGAACAGCATTACTGTCTACAGTAGAATACGTTTCACCTAAATCGTCATCTTTCTCATTAACGCTTAAAGCTGTAGATGAGGTTACGGAGTTTATAATTTGCTCATCGATCAACATTTCTCTTGTAAAAATGCCATTATCAATGCTCACATATTCGAAGAAATTGAACTCACTCAATTTGGTTTTAACTTGTTCTTCGACAACATTGGAACATCTTCGTCTGTGGCATACTCGTAGTCAGAGTCTTTATACTTTTCTAACCATTCGTTATGGGAATTTCATCGTCTGTTTCATAATAATTTTCTGTTCTTACAAATCCCCCATGCTTAAAGCAATTTGCAATGGTTTTTCGGCTAACTTTTTGCCAAGCTCTATGAATGAAATTGACTGCATCTAAGAGATTTATAGAAAATGTTTCATTTTTATCGATCGCCTCTAACGTTTTCATAAGAAGAATTTTTCACCGGCAGACTCTCCAACAATTTTTCCGCTACTGATATTATGCTTCTTCTTGAAACGCTCTTCCCAACTTTTAGAACAAGCAAACTCTTTGTTTTTGATTTTACTCCCCATTTCACTAGCATTTTCTTGCAAAACA